AGAAGGGTCATTTAATTCACACAAATAGTCCCTGTCATCTGCATCTGTGTCTTCCCATATTGGGTCACTGTAATCATAGCTGCAGTCAGAATTACATTTCAACAGGTTATTAAAATGTTCAAACCACTGATCTACTGTTATGTTGGAAGGATTCTTATGATTTACTCTGCAGGATTTTAACACTTTCCAAAAAGATTTTGAATTATGTCTGGATGCACTGAGAATTTCCCTGTTTATGGCAATAATCTTCCTTTTTCAAATAAGATGTTTCTTTAAATTTCCTTTTACATTCTATATATATAGCAATATCCTGTCCATATTTCCTATGGAGCCTTAGAGCTGTATATTTCTTTTGTTTTAATACTTCCAGCTGATCATCCCACCAAGGTGGCTGTGGTGATATGTCAGCGAGCTTACTACCTTTGTACACATTTTTAAACTCTTCTGCAGCACTATGGTTAAGGTCTGTTAAAGTATCTACACTGTCTTCTACATTTTCTTCAATCTGTTTGTATATACTGTCACAATATGTTTAAGAGAGACCTTGGAAATTCACCATAAATGATTTACTGTTATATGGGCACCATGTATACTTGGTCCATCTTTCTTGATGGGCTTCATTACCAGTATGACTATTATTAAAATCATTGGGGTTGCTGTTGGATTCCTCGGAGTAATTAAGTGGAAGGTCAATAGTACAGTAAAGAGGGAAGTGATTAGATTCATCTCTCTCATGAACACCAAAGAAGCTAAAATGTGGAAATAAATCTGTACTTACCAGAAAATAGTCCACCACACAGGCACCATTGTGAGTGATACAAGTAAAGTTCCCATCCATATCATCAAATAGCCGCCCGTTTAGTACATGAACATCATGTGTGCAACATAATTCTGCTAGTTTGACACCATAACTGTTGTGTCGAGTGTTATCCTTTGTTTTACGGGGAATATCGAACCCATCAGTTGGATAGTCATCACTGTTCTCATGGATGAAGTTGAGGTCATCAGCTGGGATATAATCCAGAAATGTACGCATCCTTGCATTGAAATCTCCAGCAAGTAATAGGTAATGATTGTTATAAATATTTATGATTGTCTCAATATATCCCTCAAGACGACTTATGGGATCAATGTTAGCCTCATTATAAACAGGGGAGTTTTCAGGCGAGATATAAACAAATATTAAAACTGAATCTTTTTGTAATCCAAAATAACTTGTTTGAAAGTGCAGCACAACACAATCGATAAATGAATGACATATTTGACGAATAAGATTGTTCTTGATGAAATTATCTTTCACCAATACGGTTACACCACCACTGTAACGGCCACGTTGTTTATGTTTAGGTCAACAAAAGTTAAATGATTGAAAATCGGACAATAGATCGCCAAAGTCATCTTCCTGCTTAACAAATGAGGTGAGGTGAAATTGGGTTTAACGTCGCGTCCAAGATTATTGCACTTATATAGCGACGTGCATGCACGTGTATGTGTGTGTGTGGCTGCTTGTACTAGTCCGGACTGATGCCGATTTATAGTGCTAGCTCACTGAGATACCATGCCGCAGTTTAACATGAATACCCCACTCAGACACAGTATACTGACTCCGAGCCGACCAGTCCTTGTTTTAGCCCCTTAATGCCGAGCGCCAGACAGGGTAACAACAAGTACAATCTTTTAACGTCTTTTTGTATGACGCGGCCCGGGATCGAACCCTGGACCTTCCGCTCTCCGGGCGGACGCTCTACCACAAGACCACGGAGGCGGTCGCTTAACAAATGACAGAAACTAATAATGTCGTATCTACTGCAGAACTGTTTAAAATCACTATATGAAGAACTCGCGTATTTATACAATCCATCAATATTCCAAATGAGAATACTACAACTTGTGCCTTGGCCTTCTCATCTCCACGTTGTCGATCGCAGACCTCTGTCTCATCTCCATGTTGTCGATCGCGGACCTCTGTCTCATCTCCACGTTGTCGATCGCGGACCTCTGTCTCATCTCCACGTTGTCGATCGCGGACCTCTGTCTCATCTCCACGTTGTCGATCGCGGACCTCTGTATCATCTCCATGTTGTCGATCGCGGACCTCTGTCTCATCTCCACGTTGTCGATCGCGGACCTCTGTCTCATCTCCACGTTGTCGATCGCGGACCTCTGTCTCATCTCCACGTTGTCGATCGCGGACCTCTGTCTCATCTCCACGTTGTCGATCGCGGACCTCTGTCTCATCTCCACGTTGTCGATCGCGGACCTCTGTATCATCTCCATGTTGTCGATCGCGGACCTCTGTCTCATCTCCACGTTGTCGATCGCGGACCTCTGTCTCATCTCCACGTTGTCGATCGCGGACCTCTGTCTCATCTCCACGTTGTCGATCGCGGACCTCTGTCTCATCTCCACGTTGTCGATCGCGGACCTGTCTCACCTCCACGTTGTCGATCGCGGACCTCTGTCCGGAGGGCTCTCCTTCCATTTCCGGGTCCAGATTCCGACGTAATCAAAGGGGCGTGTATGTGCTGTTGGTTAGACTGTGTGCCTATGATGTTTGTTGTTATCCTGTTTCCATTGGTCGTGCATACATTCATGTTCTTCACACTGTTGTTTACAAACACTTTTCCATCAACCATGAGTTTGTCGTGTCGAATTTTCGGTTTTAATCCGGCTTTTAGAGCTTCAGAATATGATGGAGCTAAGGAGGGTCGGGCCTCGTGTACACGCTGTGTTAGGTCCTCTGTGACTCTGTACTGTGGGTTTTGTTGACCTTTGAATTTCCTTTTAGCCACATATAGAATGTTGTTCCTCGTTCACTGGATTGTCTGGTCCAGACTCGATTATTTTACAGACCACCGTCATATAGATGGAATATTGCTGAGTGCGGCATTAAACAACAAACAAATAAACCTGTTTTAAAAACAAAATGAACAAATTGAATGGATTATCTACATTACGAAACATGACTAAATCACAGAATGAGACATGGCCGGATTAAGTTACTCTCATTTCATTTTATAAACTCCAATTTTTTAAAATGGAAACCAAAATGGCGCTCTCCTTCAGTCAAAATTAAACGGACCCTTATAAACTAACCGCCTTCAGGGCGGGGAAGAATAATTGTCGGGTTAATCCTTATTACCTCCCTTGAATATGGGACAGAATACACGTTCCCCATTCCTCTGGAAAAACACCACTGTGAAGAAATCTGTTGATTTATTTGTTTTTAAATAGGTGCAATATAATGTCCAGGTGATTTCATAAACTCACTTACAATACTGTTAGACCTGGGAGACTTATCAGCTTTTAAATTGTGAAAACTCCATCAGTGAAAGGCATGTTGAGATCATCCCATATTTCTGTGACTCATGCATATTTGATAATAGACAACAAAGCCACTGAGTGGGGATAACAACATTGGATATTCCTGACATTTTTTTCAAGTAACTTGGGGTGGTTCCTAGTCACAGCCAGCTTATTCTTTGGTTTCTCGTAATAATCTTCTCTTTGGGTGGAAAACAAATTCTTAAAGGGGAAGTGTACACGCAAAAATCACTTTCTTTCTTTTTCTAAACAAAACGCAATTTTAGAATTAGTTAGTATCTGTGTTTGAAAATATACACTCACTTTTTTCACAGTGAAAGTAGGAAGCTCACAATTGTGTGAAAATGATATGCCGTTATGAGGCCTTCGTTTTTCGAGCTAAACAGGCCTGAGTTATCCCCCTTAGATTATGACGTAATTGGTGCCAATTCAACTGGGTCCCTGTCTATTCTGAACGCAAAAGATATCAAGTACCAGTTTTCGGTAAAACAACATGGCCTACGACACACTCCGGCGCAGTGGTGACTCAGCATTACACTATGCTGGCTGGCATCTGAGACGCTAGAATCACACACCTATACCTGCACCACGTGAAGCGGCTCTAACAAAGCATGATGACGTCATAATGTTTATCAATTGGCACCAATGACGTCATATTGCAAGGGGCATAAGCCATGGTGTTTTTGTTATGGAAATAGAACACTTGGTAAATGTGAAAAATATAAATCGTTTTAATGCAAAACATATGTTAATTAATTGTGATATTTTTATATTTTTGTCTATGACACTTCTAGGTTAACACTTTTATTGAGGAAAAAGTACAAGAAAATTAGGTTCATTTCCGTGTGAACTTGCCCTTTAAACAAATTCTTAAACAATCTTGTGGAACTCTGATGTTGTCAATATCCTGTCATATCAACCTAATTCAATACAGTAAGCATGTAGTTTACAATTTATTATGCTTTTTCAATATCAAAACCTTTCTTCATTTCAAAGAAATATCTCATGACAGTATGTCTAAAAGTTTCAGAGAAGATATTGTCACTGATATTGCAGTGACCATTTAGAATGTTTCAAAATGAATATTTACATGACTGGAACCAGGGACATGGAGAACATATTGTGTGAAATGATTCAGTAGATACGGAGGAGAAGATGGACTAACAGATGGACGACAGATAAAGATCCATAACATAGGCTCACATTGACAATATCATGTTGAGCCAAAATCACTCATAAAGTCTGTTTGCTGAAAACAACATTTATTTGTGTTCTATATAACAGAAACATACAAATATTTACAAGGCACAAATTACCAAAATAGAATTCCACAGAAGACAAACAAAGCACAATCTCATTAAAAGCAGACCTTAGTTTTTCGCTGAGGACATCCCATTAGTGGTCACGTCAGAACGACCTTTCATCCGACCAATCAGAACGTCGCTTACCAGATTATGAAAGTGACAGTCAGAATGTGGTTTCTAATCATGCAATTTCGAAAACTTTAACACAGGGTATTCCGAACGATGGTTACGGGTTTAACGACTGAATCCATACAATCTAGACCATCTATTAGCCATTCCAGAATGTTCTTTTGTTTAGCTTTCAAACTTGTAATCGAGAATTTGTCAAAATATGTTTCGAAACGTAGTCGCCAATTTGAATTTAGTGCCTTAAAGCACGAGAAAGCTTCCTCCTGATTGGTCATTCCATTGGTCGGTCTGATGTGACCCGTAATGGGATGTCCTCAGATCTTTGTTTAGCGGTATCGAGAACTAAGATCTGATTTTAATGACATTGAACAAAGCAGTGCAGAAGCACCGAGGAGTGGGTATCAGGTCCTTGCAGGCGTTGCCATGGACACAAGCACTGACGAGTGGGTATCAGGTCCTTGCAGGCGTTGCCATGGACACAAGCACTGACGAGTGGGTATAAGGTCCTTGCAGGCGTTGCCATGGACACAAGCACTGACAAGTGGGTACAAGGTCCTTGCAGGCATTGCCATGGACACAAGCACTGACGAGTGGGTATAAGGTCCCTGCAGGCGTTGCCATGGACACAAGCACTGACGAGTGGGTATCAGGTCTCTCTCCTTACTGCAGGTGTTGCCATGGATACAAGCTCTGATGTTGGAGAGTGCAACATGTTCTCCCAGGTTACCGTTGGCCAGGTGTCTTGTGATCCAGGCAGCGAGTTCTTCATGTTATTTCACAAACGATAGACCAAGTTTGTGTTCTGTCACATTACATTTCTACTTCAACACCGGCTCAACAATTAATACCATGTCTGTAGGAAGATGACAGCCTACAATCAGACCACTGACAGGTGAGAGATGGCTTCACATCATGACACGTCCAACTACAAGGAGACGCTTTCCTGCACCACAGTTGATGTGACCACATCTCCTACAACTTGACACAGGGTTTCAACAATTCTCAGTTTGCAGATGAAGGGTTAGCTACTTGACTGACACATTGTCAATACTTCATGGTTCCGAGGAGGAACGTAGTGTATACAGTACACACATACACAGCAATGATGGTCATTGTTTTCTGAAAGTGGATACTTGTGGATCGACACACTAAATCATTCAGCAGTCTCATTGTACAGAGATTTGGCCACAGTGAGTGTGTAGAACACATGGTTCTAGATTATCAAGCAGGAGTTTAGTTTTCAATGGTGACACAAGAAACATTAACCATTGATAAATCTATAAAGTAAATCTTAGCACACCTTGCATAAATACCAGGTGATGGGATAGATAATATATAAAGTATGGTAGACAGACCAGGTCGATACGGCAGATCAGGCAGATGTGTAAGGTATACAATACACACGGTTGTGTGGAGAAGCAATCACGGGGCCATTTCCCCGAGGCAAGAGAGTTAATTGACTATAAAAGTCCAGTTTCCACCCTTGCCCAACCAGGCTGGTATTATGGAGTTATATTTTGGCTGGACTAACTAGTCTATGTATAGTCCAATCAAAATTGCACCTGGTTAGTAAACTGTAGAGCAGATTTTGGTCAACTGCAGGATTTGCCAAGCATGTGCACTGCCAACTCGTTGTCAGCAGATATTTTCCAAATCTTTTCATGTTTTTAATCAAAGTGCTCATGTGATTTCATGCATTTTGTGATGCAAGACCCGTTTTATCACAATATAGATCTTGATTATGGATCAGAACGTCCTGCCTTGGCGCCCTCATTTTGTGTGAAACAAATGCAAGTGATATGAGAGATGGAATCTGATTGGTCCATAGGGGAGGCTTAGAAGGGACATAACTCGTAACAGCCACTGGTGGCGCTACCATCGAGCCCAGGAATTCCAGCCTAGTTCTGCAAGGGTGGTAACTGGACTTTTAAAGTCAGTTAACTCTCTTGCCTCGGGAAGATGTCTCGGGGCGGGACTATGTACATGGGATGGGTTGTGATTTGTTGCTATGGGGACAGGAGACTTGGAGATGGGCTGGGACAACAAATAAATACAGAAGCAATTTACAATTACAAAACATGAATCAGAAAGTATTCTATAGACATCATAGAAAAAGAATATCACAAATATAACATTGATGTAATTCTGTTTTTCATCAGTAGGTTATGACTTGACACAACTGTTGCTATTTCCTGGAAGTTATCAATACAGCAGACATAAAGTAGGCGACTGAATGGTCAGTATATTAAAAATGTTTTTCAAAATCATGTCCTAAATTATCCACATCCAGTCTCCAGATCCACTAACGAAGACTTTCAAGTAGTATTGTATTAACAGTGAGAACAAGTTGACCCAGTGGGTCTCAGTGTTACAGTTGCCTCCTGGGGGAATCTACCTCTTCAGCCACAGACGGGGGGTCAGACAGCCACCCGCCTCAACCCCACAGGTCCTCCGTCCGACCAAACTTGAAGACAATTGAACTGAAACAACAGCAGAGATACTCTCACAGGCTGGAGAATGTGTAATCATGTTCCTATATATCAACTGTTATAAGCACTACCGAATTCACTCGTGTTCATAACACTACAAGTTATGAAGAAAGTATTCCATTCAACATGATCACAAGAATAAGCTCTTATCCTCTTATCATATTCTGTAGAAGATTGTTTTATAATAATAAATTACCTGAAAAATATGAGAGCGTTCTGCAGGAAGACGGCAATACCGGGCCAATCTGGAGTCGCATCTGGAAGATAAAAAAAATATTTACAAGGGCTGCATGTCACATATGGACTTCCATATATTAACAAGGGCTGCATGTCACATATGGACTTCCATACATTGACAAGGGCTGCATGTCACATATGGACTTCCATACATTGACAAGGGCTGCATGTCACATATGGAGTTCCATACATTAACAAGGGCTGCATGTCATGTACAGGATTTCCATACATTTACAAGGGCTGCATGTCACATACAGGATTTCCATACATTTACAAGGGCTGCATGTCACATGTGGACTTCCATATATTAACAAGGACTGCATGCCACAAATGGACTTCCATACATTCAGGAGTTTGCGCTGCAGCTTCAGGACACCAAGTCACATCACACTTAAACTGGGACGGCCTGATTGTTGTGGGTGTTGACAGTACTTACACTGGACAACATAGAAGCCGAACAGGATCCAGGACGCAGCAATCAGCGCACCGAACCCCAGCAGGAAACCGAAGAACAACCAGATGCGAGCTCCTGTGGAGATGAAACACCATGTCAGTGTGTGAGTGGGAGGCTTATTGAAGGAGTGAGAGAGAGAGAGAGAGTGAGTGAGTGAGGGAGAGAATGAGTGAGTGAGAGAGTGAGTGAGGATTAAGTTAGGAATGAGTGATTGAGGGAGAAAGAGTGATTGAGGGAGTGATTGAGTGCGTGAGGATTAAGTTAGGACTGAGAGTGAGTGATAGAGGGAGGGAGAGTGATTGAGTGAGTGAGTGAGTGAGGGAGTAAGTGAGGGAGAGTGTGAGTGAGTGAGGATTAAGTTAGGACTGAGAGTAAGTGATAGAGGGAGAGAGTGATTGAGGGAGGGAGTGATGGAGAGAGTGAGGGAGAGAATGAGTGAGTGAGGATTAAGTTAGGACTGAGAGTAAGTGATAGAGGGAGAGAGTGATTGAGGGAGGGAGTGATGGAGAGAGTGAGGGAGAGAATGAGTGAGTGAGGATTAAGTTTGGACTAAAAAATGAGTGATAGAGGGAGAGAGTGATTGAGGGAGTGAGTGAGTGAGGGAGAGAATGAGTGAGTGAGGAATAAGTTAGGACTGAGAGTAATTGATAGAGGGAGAGAGAGTGATTGAGGGAGAGAGAGTGATTGAGGGAGAGAGAGAGTGATGGAGTGATGGAGAGAGTGAGGGAGAGAATGAGTGAGTGAGGATTAAGTTAGGAGTGAGTGTGAGGGATGTAACAGACCAGCACACACACATTCCAGCACTACATGACATCTTACCTGTCTGTCCCATGCATCCATTCGTGTAGCTCTCACCGCGGATCTGGCCATTTGACACTGAGTTTATCCTGAAAGAAATAATGAGAGAGTGAGATCTGGTTCAACAAACCCTTGACTTGTACTTCAGTTGTTCAATGTTGGTTTACTGAGAGTGCAGCCCCAAGTAAAACAGGTCTGAGATCAACCCCATGGGCACTGTGATGCATCAAGAGGCTTTATCAAGGTGAATCTTGGCTAACCAGTGTATTCCTTGTACTAGTGGCAGTGAAGGGAAGTAACTCTGACAATGTATTCTTATACAAGTGGCAAGCTCCGCAAATGGGCTATCACCCATTGAGAGGGTTGGGGTCAGAGGGCAAATTTCAAGATTCTTGTACTGGCTGCTTCCACACTGACGGCAGCAATGTAACCATTGGTTACCGAGAGTGTAACGGTGTCACGCACTGAGAGGGAGCTTGGTACCAGTGGTAGGAAAGGAGAGTAACTATGACAGTGTATTGATGTACTCGTGGTCGCTATGGAAGTAACTTTGACAGTATTCATGTATTCATGGTCGCTATGGAAGTAACTCTGACAGTGTATTCATGTACTCGTGGTCGCTATGGAAGTAACTGTGACAGTATTCATGTACTCATGGTCGCTATGGAAGTAACTGTGACAGTATTCATGTACTCATGGTCGCTATGGAAGTAACTATGACAGTATTCATGTACTCATGGTCGCTATGGAAGTAACTGTGACAGTATTCATGTACTCATGGTCGCTATGGAAGTAACTGTGACAGTATTCATGTACTCATGGTCGCAATGGAAGTAACTATGACAGTATTAATGTACCCATGGTCTCTATGGAAGTAACTCTGACAGTGTATTCATGTACTCATGGTCGCTATGGAAGTAACTGTGACAGTATTCATGTACTCATGGTCGCTATGGAAGTAACTATGACAGTATTAATGTACCCATGGTCGCTATGGAAGTAACTCTGACAGTGTATTCATGTACTCATGGTCGCTATGGAAGTAACTGTGACAGTGTACTCATGTACTCATGGTCGCTAAGGAAGTAACTATAACAGTATTGATGTATTCCTGGTCGCTATGGAAGTAACTGTGACAGTGTATTCATGTACCCATGGTCGCTATGGAAGAAACTCTGACAGTATTCATGTACTCATGGTCGCTATGGGAAGTAACTCTGTCAGTGTATTCATGTACTCCTGGTCGCTATGGGAAGTAACTCAGACAGTGTATTCATGTACTCGTGGTTGCTATGGGAAGTAACTGTGACAGTGTATTCATGTACTCATGGTCGCTATGGAAGAAACTCTGACAGTGTATTCATGTACTCATGGTCGCTATGGAATAAACTCTGACAGTGTATTCATGTACTCGTGGTCGCTATGGGAGTAACTATGACAGTGTATTCATGTACTCGTGGTTGCTATGGAAGGTAACTCTGACAGTGTATTCATGTACTCGTGGTCGCTATGGAAGTAACTGTGACAGTGTATTCATGTACTCATGGTCGTAATGGAAGTAACTCTGACAGTGTATTCATGTACTCGTGGTCGCTATGGAAGTAACTGTGACAGTGTATTCATGTACTCATGGTCGTAATGGAAGTAACTCTGACAGTGTATTCATGTACTCGTGGTCGCTATGGAAGTAACTGTGACAGTGTATTCATGTACTCGTGGTTGCTATAGAAGTAACTCTGACAGTGTATTCATGGTCGCTATGGAAGTAACTATGACAGTGTATTCATGTACTTGTGGTCGCTATGGAAGTAACTGTGACAGTGTATTCATGTACTCATGGTCCTAATGGAAGTAACTCTGACAGTGTATTCATGGTCGCTATGGAAGTAACTGTGACAGTGTATTCATGTACTTGTGGTCACTATGGAAGTAACTCTGACAGTGTATTCATGTATTCATGGTCGCTATGGAAGTTTCTGTGACAGTGTATTCATGTACTCATGGTCGCTATGGAAGTAACTGTGACAGTATTCATGTACTCATGGTCGCTATGGGAAGTAACTATGACAGTATTCATGTACTCATGGTTGCTATGGGAAGCAACTCTGACAGTGTATTCATGGTCGCTATGGAAGTAACTCTGACAGTGTATTCATGTATTCATGGTCGCTATGGAAGTAACTGTGACAAGTGTATTCATGTACTCGTGGTCGCTATGGGAAGCAACTCTGACGTGAGGTATGTATGTACTCGTGGTCGCTATGGAAGCAACTCTGACATGAGGTATGTATGTACTCGTGGTCGCTATGGAAGTAACTCTGACGTGAGGTATGTATGTACTCGTGGTTGCTATGGAAGTAACTCTGATGTGAGGTATGTATGTAAGCGTGGTCGCTATGGAAATAACTGATGTGAGGTATGTATGTATGCGTGGTCGCTATGAAAGTAACTCTGATGTGAGGTATGTATGTATGCGTGGTCGCTATGGAAGTAACTCTGATGTGAGGTATGTATGTAAGCGTGGTCGCTATGGAAGTAACTCTGACGTGAGGTATGTATGTAAGCGTGGTCGCTATGGAAGTAACTCTGATGTGAGGTATGTATGTATGTGTGGTCGCTATGGAAGTAACTCTGATGTGAGGTATGTATGTATGTGTGGTCGCTATGGAAGTAACTCTGATGTGAGGTATGTATGTACTCATGGTCGCTGTGGAAGTAACTCTGACTTTAGGATTGTATGTATGCGTGGTCGCTATGGAAGTAACTCTGATGTGAGGTATGTATGTACTCGTGGTCGCTGTGGAAGTAACTCTGACTTTAGGAATGTATGTATGCGTGGTCGCTATGGAAGTAACTCTGACTTTAGGAATGTATGTATGCGTGGTCGCTATGGAAGTAACTCTGATGTGAGGTATGTATGTATGTGTGGTCGCTATGGAAGTAACTCTGATGTGAGGTATGTATGTACTCGTGGTCGCTGTGGAAGTAACTCTGACTTTAGGAATGTATGTAAGCGTGGTCGCTATGAAAGTAACTCTGATGTGAGGTATGTATGTATGCGTGGTCGCTATGGAAGTAACTCTGATGTGAGGTATGTATGTACTCGTGGTCGCTATGGAAGTAACTCTGATGTGAGGTATGTATGTAAGCGTGGTCACTGTGGAAGTAACTCTGATGTGAGGTATGTATGTATGCGTGGTCGCTGTGGATGTAACTCTGACGTGAGGTATGTATGCATGTACTCGTGGTCGCTATGGAAGTAACTCTGATGTGAGGTATGTATGTACTCGTGGTCGCTATAGAAGTAACTCTGATGTGAGATATGTATGTATGCGTGGTCGCTATGGAAGTAACTCTGATGTGAGGTAGGTATGTACTCGTGGTCGCTATGGAAGGTACTCTGACGTGAGATATGTACGTAAGCGTGGTCGCTATGGAAGTAACTCTGACGTGAGGTATGTATGTATGCGTGGTCGCTATGGAAGTAACTCTGATGTGAGGTATGTATGTACTCGTGGTTGCTGTGGAAGTGACGTGAGATATGTATGTACTCGTGGTCGCTGTGGAAGTGACGTGAGGTATGTATGTATGCGTTGTCGCTGTGGAAGTGACTCTGATGTGAGGTATGTATGTACTCGTGGTCGCTGTGGAAGGTACTCTGATGTGAGGTATCTATGTATGCGTGGTCGCTATGGAAGTAACTCTGATGTGAGGTATGTATGTACTCGTGGTCGCTATGGAAGGTACTCTGATGTGAGGTATCTATGTATGCGTGGTCGCTATGGAAGTAACTCTGATGTGAGGTAGGTATGTACTCGTGGTCGCTATGGAAGGTACTCTGACGTGAGGTATGTATGTATGCGTGGTCGCTATGGAAGTAACTCTGATGTGAGGTATGTATGTACTCGTTGCTGTGGAAGTGACGTGAGATATGTATGTACTCGTGGTCGCTGTGGAAGTGACGTGAGGTATGTATGTATGCGTTGTCGCTGTGGAAGTGACTCTGATGTGAGGTATGTATGTACTCGTGGTCGCTGTGGAAGGTACTCTGATGTGAGGTATCTATGTATGCGTGGTCGCTATGGAAGTAACTCTGATGTGAGGTATGTATGTACTCGTGGTCGCTATGGAAGGTACTCTGATGTGAGGTATCTATGTATGCGTGGTCGCTATGGAAGTAACTCTGATGTGAGGTAGGTATGTACTCGTGGTCGCTATGGAAGGTACTCTGACGTGAGGTATGTATGTATGCGTGGTCGCTATGGAAGTAACTCTGATGTGAGGTATGTATGTACTCGTGGTCGCTGTGGAAGTGACGTGAGATATGTATGTACTCGTGGTCGCTGTGGAAGTGACGTGAGGTATGTATGTATGCGTGGTCGCTGTGGAAGTGACGTGAGATATGTATGTACTCGTGGTCGCTGTGGAAGTGACGTGAGGTATGTATGTATGCGTGGTCGCTGTGGAAGTGACGTGAGGTATGTATGTATGCGTGGTCGCTGTGGAAGTGACGTGAGGTATGTATGTACTCGTGGTCGATGTGGAAGTGACGTGAGATATGTATGTACTCGTGGTCGCTGTGGAAGTGACGTGAGGTATGTATGTATGCGTGGTCGCTGTGGAAGTGACGTGAGGTATGTATGTACTCGTGGTCGATGTGGAAGTGACGTGAGATATGTATGTACTCGTGGTCGCTGTGGAAGTGACGTGAGGTATGTATGTATGCGTGGTCGCTGTGGAAGTGACGTGAGGTATGTATGTACTCGTGGTTGCTATGGAAGTGACGTGAGGTATGTATGTATGCGTGGTCGCTGTGGAAGTGACGTGAGGTATGTATGTACTCGTGGTCGCTGTGGAAGTGACGTGAGGTATGTATGTACTCGTGGTCGCTGTGGAAGTGACGTGAGGTATGTATGTACTTACAGGAAGAAGGCCATAGTGCCGATGACCCCAGGTGTGTGGTATGCATGGTTGAAGTCCTTCATGTCAGGATAAACAGCAGCAGCATCAATAACAATCCACCAGCCACTGAAGAACTGACAATGAGATATGACATCTTTAATCCTACTCCATGTAAACATGTGATTGAATACTGAACGGTGCATTAGAGACATTCTCAGAGCCAGCTCCACACATCATGCTTATTTCCATTATGTCCATTGAAAAGTGAAAAGTAAAAAATGCAAAGTTTCACAGACAAGCAGTATAGGAGAAAATTTGCCAATTTGTGTGTTGACTCAAGAAATGAAACTTGTTCGTGGATAACTGGAGCTTATACTTTTGTTTTCCAGTGATCTCACGTAACGAGTCAGGCATTTACTTTCAACACCCTTGCATGAACTGTCTACCAGACTGCCATAAATGGTGGCGGCTTTCAGACAGAGAGTACAGGATCAGCGGCCTAATGACACATCAGTGTAGTGGAGCTGGGACGGGTACTTACAGGGCTACCCAGAACCCTGGTTAGTCAGGATATATTCTTTAATGACAGTAACAATAAAACTCAATGATTAGGCCAATGTTTGGATTTCTTTCTGACAATGCATGCAATCCTTTTGACTTTATATGTTTGAGCAGAGATATAGCTTCAGTCTACTGCAGTGTATGCATGATCACATCATTTCATACATCTATCAGTAACAATGCAGTTTACAGGGCACAGATTACTATCCTGCAGTGGTGCTAAGTGGCTGAGGCTGCCGACTGTGGCTCTCGTGTCACAGACGTCGCATGCCTCTCTGGTCCTACATTAACCCCATCTCTATCCTTAGCCCTTGGATCATATTTCTGATCAAACACCCCTTCACGATTCTTAGGGTTGGGCAGCACTTGCCAATCAACCATCCCTTTACAACCATTAGTGTTTGTTGTGAGGTAGGGTATGGTTCTCTTTTAGCAAATTAATTCAATGTAATTTGAGGAAACTCTGTACAATTTGTTTCATGTTTCGAAGAGAAAATGGCTACTGCGCATGTACATAAAGGTAAAACACACTCGGCAATATTCCAGCTATATGACGGCAGTCTGTAAATAATCGAGCCTGGACCAGATAATCCATTGATTCACACCATGATCATTGATCCAATTAGGATAGGATGACATGCATGAACCCAGTCAGCGAGTCTAACCACCCGATCCCGTTAGTCGCCTCTTACGACAAGGATAGTCGCCTTTTACAGCAAGCATGGGTGGCATGGATGGATCTCCACAGGTACTGATCACTTTATAAACGATCACTAATAATTTGTGATGGTAGGTTATTGGCTAATTAGATTAACTCATTAGCCCAGCAGAGCTTCAAGCATGCAACATGAGTTTGATCCTCCATGCGATGTAAATTGAAATCCGACAAAAGTGAGCTCGGTAAAATGCACTACTTCCCATCTCCATAAATAGTTTATGCAAGTGTTCAGGTAAAACAATGGCAACAATGCAGTTTACCGGGCGCAGCCCGAGCTCTACTATCCACTCAATTACACCGGTTTTCTGTCTTAGGGAAACTTACACGTCTTTTCAATCCAATACCCGTTGTTGGTCTTAGGGAAACTTACACGTCTTTATGATCCAATACAGGTTTTCTGTCTTAGGAAAACTTACACTTCTTTACGATCCAACACCCGTTTTCGGTCCTAGGGAAACTTTCACTTCTTTACGATCCAACACCCATTTTCGGTCCAAGGGAAACTTACACGTCTTTACGATCCAACACCAGTTTTCTGTCTTAGGGAAACTTACACTTCTTTAGGATCCAACATCCGTTTTCGGTCTTAGGGAAACTTACACGTCTTTATGAATCCAACACCCGTTTTTCGGTCTTAGGGAAACTTAAACGTCTTTACGATCCAACACCCGTTTTCGGTCTTAGGGACACTTACACATCTTTACGATCCAAAACCCCTTTTTGGTCATTAGGGTTAGCTTGCTTTGAGCAAGGGTTAGCCATAAATTCTAACCTTTCCAAGTGTTAATACGGTTAATCTGATTGGTCGGTCGTGTTGACATAAACAATGTTGGGTGTGGTTTCAAGAAAAGATTAATGGAAGAGCGGCAACAATGCAGTTTACCGGGCGCAGCCCGAGTTCTACCATCCGCTCAATTACCGCGCTATATTGCCAACGCTGTCTGGTTATACCGTTACCGTGCCTCACGCTCTGGTGACTCTCGTTTTACGATCCAACACCCGTTTTCGGTCTTAGGGAAACTTACACATCTTTACAATCAAACAACCGTTCTCGGTCTTAGGGAAACTTACACATCTTTACGATCAAACACCCGTTCTCGGTCTTAGGGAAACTTACACGTCTTTACGAATCCAACACCCGTTTTCGGTCTTAGGGAAACTTAAACGTCTTTACGATCCAACACCCGTTTTCGGTCTTAGGGAAACTTACACATCTTTACGATCCAAAACCCCTTTTCGGTCATTAGGGTTAGCTTGCTTTGAGCAAGGGTTAGCCATAAATTCTAACCTTTTCAAGCGTTAATCCGGTTAATCCCATTGGTCGGTCATGTTGACATAAACAATTGCGGGTGTGGTTTCAAGAAAAGATGAATGGGAGAGCGGACCGTGACGTCAAACGCATGCGCAATTCATTGTTTACTGAATTACGCATGCATGTCAATGGGGATTCTAATGACCCGTTAAACGAGCACTGACTACATGTGATAGCGCTCGTGGTCCAGTGGTAGAGCGTTGGCAAATTAACGCATTAATTAGCCAAGTCGGTGAGCCGGCCAAATGCGTTCGAGCTCCCACAGTGCTAAATGGATCTGAAAAAGTGCGCCTGGTAAAGTGCACTACACCCAAAACAAATTCACAATCAGGCATTTTGTAACTAACAAATTCACAATCAGGCATTTTGTAACTAACAAATTCACAATCAGGCATTTTGTAACTAACTTTGTGACCTACAACGGGTGCCTGGGTAGTTCATTTGTATTCGCCCCAGCCCTGTCATGCCTATAGAGTAGTAATATAGCACTACAAGCATGATCCTGGTCTTGGGTCATCCTATCCTGATTAGAAAGAAAACACAACCGTACCATTATGCCAGATATGATAGAAGCAACCAGATTCCTCCTTTCACCAAGTTCTATGCAATCACATCGTGGTAATTGGCAGTTGTCTAAAAATCCAGACATCTTGGCAGCTTAGATGGGAGTTAGACTCAGACGGAACGATACTGGAACTCCGTGGATGTCACTTCACTGCAAACGGACAATTCACTTCCTAACTTCTGGATTAGTTTGTTTCAGTATATCTCGACAAGTCTAAGGTCCATAAGTCCAAAATGTTGTATGATCTTCAGGTAACAGTTCCGACCACGGACCGAATTCAGGTTTCGATGACACACAAGCTTGTGACAATGTTTGTACTTTATTTACAAAGGCAAGACATGTCCGCCATATTACTTCCGGTATACGGTTATATAGAAAACTAGAAACTGTACACGGAATGTTTTTGTTGTTGTTTCTCTAAAACTATATCCAGCAAAGTTTGTGCAGCAAACTTGGTCTTTTGTACCACAGAACGATCTTTCTTTATTTGTTTTGCAAGCAAAAATGATTTACAAGCAGACCCGTGTTGATAAAGCAGACTTACATGCACGTTTCGAAAGCAAAAACGAATCAGGTATCTCCAATATTCGATGAGTTTTTAATAAATAACTAATTCCGATTAGAAGAAAAACTGCACATATCTATGTAGAAACGCTGAGATATTTGAACTAAGTCTCAACCTTTTACATTCGTAAGAAAGACTGTTGTGAGAGAACCGGTAGGGTAAAAATGAAGCGCACGTAAAATACTCGCGACCTAACCATGTTGAGCTCTGATAGATCCACGGATATTTCAGAGACCGAAAGACTGAGCTGAGGACAATGTGACCTGTCTGTGAACACAGCACTGCGGGCGTGGTAGTGCTTCATTTCGGTACTTGAACATTGTTTGACTATATATACTTGCAGCTGCTATGGTTGGCGTAACAAGACCCAGTTAAATTGGTAGAACATGAAGACGTAAAACATTATTTTGATAACAACTTCTTTATTATTTGTAATAAAGAATACAGAAGTTGATATCGATAACAAAGATGGAGTGAGGTGAGGTGAAATGGAGTTTAACGTCGCGTTCAATATTATTGCACTTATATAGTGACGTGCATGCACATGCGTGTTTGCGTGTTCTAGTCCGGACTGATGCCGATTTATAGTGCTAGCCCACTAAGATACCATGCCGCAGTTTAAAATGAATACCCCACTCAGACACAGTATACTGACTCCGAGCCGACCAGGGTGCCGTTGGACAAAGCGATCTTAGCGCTGAGGTGATCGTACGTAACTCCCATACCTTAACATAGGCTTGCGACAGTCGTAGCGCTAAGGTTGTTTTGTACAACGACACCCAGTCCTTGTTTTAGTCCCTCAATGCCGAGCCCCAGACAGGGTAACAACAAGTACCTTCTTTTAACGTCTTTTGGTATGACGCGGCCGGGCTTCGAACCTCGAACCTTCCGCTCTCCGGGCGGACGCTCTACCACAAGACCACGGAGGCGGTCAACAAAGATGGATGTCGTCATACCCTCTCCAGGTGTGGACTGCGTGTTTTGGGGTGTGTCAAATTTCAGGCACCTGTCAAAACACTCTAGCACCTCTGGCGTCCACTTGCGTATACGTTTACTCTTACGTGTGTCACTGTTTACACACTAGATTACACTCCAAAACACCAACAGACGTGTAACAACAATGATGATGTATGTAGATCTATACGTCAAACTTTAAGATAGGATGATAAAAGAGGTTCGTAGTTTTAGATGTTTGCCGCTTCTAAGTTTCGTGTTCATATCCGGACGCAATCATTGCATGGAACACATCATTAGACATGGCTGATTTCGTCAACTCTTTTTGTGACACTTTTTTGTCAAGTACACATATAATGGGTTAGATCTTTTCAAAATTAATTCATGATAATCTCCAATACGCAAGACTCTAGGCTTTGTCGGTAGCAGTTCGCTAACACGGAAAATATCAGTGCCATGGAAAGCTTATAAGGAAAATCTGCTTAGAACACTCAGCCAGTGAGAAAACATCATCTCACATCTCGCGACGAATATCATCGATTGCCGTGCGTGCGTGTGATACGTGATAAATACAAAGTTAGTAAGTCAGTTATTCAATGCATTTTATCTTTTGGCACGTAGGAATGAATGAATCTTGGTATGTCTTTCTTAATGGATCGGAGCTCAATTAATTTCTCCAACTTAAACAAGCACTGAATTGTTATTTTTAAAAATAAATTTAAATATCGAAATGAATTCTTTTGACACGTTAATATATGCGTGGCATGTGTATTTTTTCAGGGGCTTGATTATATTTTTAGTCTCGTGTGACTGCAAACTCCAGGTAAAGACCACGCGACAACCTCGGACACAGATATACCTGAAGAAAGATCACACTCCATATTCTCTTTTCCCACTGAACTAATTCACCTTCCCAACCTTAATAAACAAAACAATATTGAGCGACATACAGGTTATATATTATATTTCATTATCTGCAAAGATACGCTGTTAGACAGCGCCGTGGCTTTGCTTGGGAGTGTGGTACTGTTAACAAGGAAAGTGGTCCTTTTCTGCCTGACCACTTCTATTTATATCCAGTCAAGATCAGTTGAACAAATAATTCAAATATAAAAAGCAGTCGTACAATTGACGCTTTGTGGCCAGTTAGAAAACTGTTCGGCCCACAAACTCCGATATATATACCAACTGAAAAGGTAACCCTGCTTGATATAAAGTTCAATAAATTACATTTATTCTGAACTGAAATAATGTATCTTTCAACACGTATTCTTGAAAGCACCTAGACATAAAGGTCGTAATTCAAAATTTGCACGTGCCCCGACGTCCAGCGGTACACCTTGATTTGCTTCCACGTCACCGTCAGGCACGCCTAGCTTGGTGTGTAGACAGCATCTGTGGTCTGAGGTTCACAAGATAAGGCTTGGATAGAATGTCGTACGCTAGCCGGACGATATCGTTCGAGATCATGCTCTACCTTTGACGGGAAGAAACGCCACGTTGCAGCAGGATAATGGCGCCCACATGTTGCACATGTTGAAACAAACTTATGAGGCAGCATAATATTGCTGTACTGCCATGTAGGCTGGCTCTCCCCACTTCTGTCCCAAAGAACATGTCTGGGATGGGGTAGGTCGACTATTACGATAGGACAAGAACCAGCCGATAACGTTAGCTCAGTTGGACCACTGATTGATGGTGTAGTCAAAGTAAGATAGCACACAATCAGTCTTACAATGGCCAACGTTGTTGGTCGTCTATCAAGTTCCTGTCAAACTTTGTGACAAGCATGGGATACTTGGGGCTGGTCTGTCAGAGATTGCCGTGACAAGCATGGGGTACAAGGGGCTGGTCTGTCAGAGATTGCCGTGACAAGCATGGGGTACTGGGGGGCTGGTCTGTCAGAGATTGTCGTGACAAGCATGGGGTACAAGGGGCTGGTCTGTCAGAGATTGTCGTGACAAGCATGGGGTACAAGGGGCTGGTCTGTCAGAGATTGCCGTGACAAGCATGGGGTAAAAGGGGCTGGTCTGTCAGAGATTGTCGTGACAAGCATGGGGTACAAGGGGCTGGTCTGTCAGAGATTGTCGTGACAAGCATGGGATACTGGGGGCTGGTCTGTCAGAGATTGTCGTGACAAGCATGGGGTACAAGGGGCTGGTCTGTCAGAGATTGTCGTGACAAGCATGGGGTACAAGGGGCTGGTCTGTCAGAGATTGTCGTGACAAGCATGGGATACTGGGGGCTGGTCTGTCAGAGATTGTCGTGACAAGCATGGGGTACAAGGGGCTGGTCTGTCAGAGATTGTCGTGACAAGCATGGGGTACAAGGGGCTGGTCTGTCAGAGATTGTCGTGACAAGCATGGGGTACAAGGGGCTGGTCTGTCAGAGATTGCCGTGACAAGCATGGGGTACGGGGGGCTGGTCTGTCAGAGATTGTCGTGACAAGCATGGGGTACAAGGGGCTGGTCTGTCAGAGATTGTCGTGACAAGCATGGGGTACAAGGGGCTGGTCTGTCAGAGATTGTCGTGACAAGCATGGGATACTGGGGGCTGGTCTGTCAGAGATTGTCGTGACAAGCATGGGGTACAAGGGGCTGGTCTGTCAGAGATTGCCGTGACAAGCATCGGGTACTGGGGGCTGGTCTGTCAGAGATTGCCGTGACAAGCATGGGGTACTTGGGGCTGGTCTGTCAGAGATTGTCGTGACAAGCATGGGGTACTGGGGGCATCTCATCACAGCTACAAGTCATCTTAATATCACCGTATTCATCTGTCTCCTCCTCCTTGACCGGAAGCCGGAAGTTGACCTCGTTCTCGCTGACTCACACAAATCAGAAACTACTTCTTTGGTATACCACCAGGCATGTAATCAGTTGCGAGCAAAGCAGGATTCTCACAGATCCACTTTGACTGACGGGTCCCAACACGATGTTGTATACATGTTGTATACAACATCGTGTACATCACCACTTTATACAACATCATGTACATCACCATCATATACAACATCGTGTACATTATCACCGTATACAACATCATGTACAAAATCACCATGTACTAAATCGTGTACATCACCACCGTATACAACATCGTGTACATCAGAACCGTATACAACACCATGTACATCATCACCATCGTATACAACATCGTGTACATCACCACCGTATACAACATCGTGTACATCAGAACCGTATACAACATCATGTACATCACCACCGTATACAACAACGTGTACATCACCACCGTATACAACATCGTGTACATCAGAACCGTATACAACATCGTGTACATCAGAACCGTATACAACACCATGTACATCATCACCATCGTATACAACATCGTGTACATCACCACCGTATACAACATCGTGTACATCACCACCGTATACAACATCGTGCATATCACCACCGTATACAACATCATGTACATCATCACCATGTACTACATCGTGTACAACACCACCGTATACAACATCGTGTACATCACCACCGTATACAACATCGTGTACATCACCATCATATACAACATCGTGTACATCACCATCGTATACAACATCATGTACATCACCATCATATACAACATCGTGTACATCACCACCGTATATAACATCGTGTACATCATCACCGTATACAACATCGTGTACATCACCACTGTATACAACATCGTGTACATCACCACTGTATACAACATCATGTACATCACCACCGTATACAACATCATGTACATCACCACTGTATACAACATCGTGTACATCACCATCATATACAACATCGTGTACATCACCACTGTATACAACATCGTGTACATCACCATCATATACAACATCGTGTACATCAC